TGGATATTATGAACCAGATAATTTTTTTGAAATAACTTCATAAGGATACAATAATTTAACTAATTCAGCTATTTTTTTCATTCATCTGATAATAGTTCTTTTTCTTTATAACGTCTCAGAGAACTATTATCATTAATTTCAACTAAAAATGATTTAAATTATACAATACTAGCTTAAGAACTATTAACTGTTTTAATAGATAGAATATTGGATTTCATCTTGTTAAAATATCACAAATTACGAAAAGAAACTTATTCTAGTCTTCTATCTCTATTTGAGCTTCCAAAAGAAACTGCTTCTACTTTAGACTTTTACTAAAATATGAAACAACATCTTTACATTTTTTAATTAGGTTAGTAATTTTAAAATATTCTTTTAAAACATCATTAATCGCGAGTTATAAAGTATGACCAAAACAATAAATTTTAAAAAATCTATATTTTTACCTTAGTTTTTCTAAACATGATTTGATATTTGACCTATTATTGACTATACTACTAATAGTAATACATTTAAGCTAAAAACTATCTAAAATTTTGATAATTTTATTTAAAAGATATTCAGAGATATAAGGATATAAGAGATATAAGATGTTACCAATCATTTTTTTAACTTGAAAACTATCATTAATCTAATAAAAAGTAAGAACAATATAGGGATCACTATTATTCGATGTCCACATATCTGTGGTAAATAAAATAGAACTAATTTTAGCACTCTTAAGTACATATTCATAAAGGTTTTGCAGAATTTTATTTTCAGAATTAATAAGAATTTCCTTTAGATAATCGTAACTGAGTACATTAGCTTAGGTATCAAGTCCTTCAATTATTCTCTTAAATATCTGTAACTGAATAATTAAAAATAGCTAAAGTTCTTCAACAATAAAAGCTACTATATTATAATCAAAATCTTTTTGTTTTGTATTAGTAATTGTATATTTTTTTACTTTGTTAAATGCATATATTATTGTTGTTTGAAAGAATTTTAATATTACAGAAAATTCACATTTATTTTTTTTGTTTATTACAATCTTTACTCAACCACCTTCTACCATAGCTCATGAGATATGATATCTATTTCTTAAATGATACTATAAATTCGAAGTGAAGCCATTCTTTTAATACTTGATATATGGATTACAAGATTTATAATAACAAAACCAAAACTCTAAATTATTAACTAACTTTGTTTTATAAAATGGTTTAACAGGACTACTACTTAGCCTTTCAAATTTTTTTTTTTTGACTAAAGGTTGATTGCTAGTTTGCAATAACATAGAGAACTGAAGTGATTCATTATTATTATCTATATCATCAAATTCTAGTTTATCTAAATCAATATTTTCAGGCTCTAACACTATATCTTCAGGTTCTAACACCGTATTTTCTATTCATCATTTTTTACTTTGTTAATTTAAGAATAAAGTACTACTTGATTTAACCAATTTTAAAATTATGCAATTCTAATTAGCTATATAAAGTAGTGCTGCATTACATTTCGTAATTATGTGATATAGTTAAATATTCATTCATAAAAACTTTGCCAGAAATGTATCTATTCTATTTTTAATTCAATATAATTAAAAATATCAAATTTTGAATACTGGTATTAAGTTATCAAGTTATTTAATCCTAGTTTCAATAATGTTACTGTTATCTTTAAAAAATTATACCATATATCAGCTAATAATAGATCAGTTGAATTCAATTTATTTAAAGACTTTCTATTTCCGACTTGGTGCACACATATTTTGAAGCAAATACTCAAAGTTTATCACATAAATTTGGAAATCTATATAGAGCATAAGAAAATTCAACCTTTAAAATGTTCTAACTTCCGTTCTAGCAAAGAAAATTTAATTCTACAACTTGCAAATGATAATAAAATAGCATAATTTTAAACCTATGTGACCATATTTTATATTAATA